GGACCTTGTCGTTCGGGTGTTGGAGCGGTGCTGCGGCGGAGATACTGCTCAGGGTTGGTTAACGAAGAAGGTAACGGTGTTTTGGCCCGCGAGGGGAGGAGAGGAGGTGGAAGAGGAAGAAGAGGAGGAGGAGCATGAAGTCGTAGTACGGCAGCTCTCCTTGCATTGCCATGATAAACGCCGATTGCAGGCGCACTGCCGTACCCTGTAGTCCTCTCACCCTTGTTTTTGTGCAACTGCGCTTATCACGAGGCAATGGATGTTCAAGGAAGTATTATATATTATACATATAACAAACTTCAAGCAGCACAGCGCTCAGCGCCAGTAGTAGCACCGGACTGGGCTGGCCGCCAGCATGTCGTGGGCATATGCGATTGATTCCTTGGGGAGCTATGTACGGAATAAAGTACGGAGTAGGCCGCCGCTTGTGGCAACTGCACATAGTCGTTTTTTGTATAGGAGCTCCCACCGGTTTCCGGCCCCGTGCATCGGGATGTACGACTTGCTCGTCCGGCATCGCAGCGTCTTTGAGAGATTGAAAGGGCCTCGGGGTTTCTGGGGAGGATATACAAGGCTTTACAGCGTGTTCTCCCATTTTATCTGTTGCAAAATGTACACATCGGTGCAAAGGTGTATGATGGTGCTGCCATGCCGCACGAGGCTTTGGAAAAGGTTCGAGAGCCTGGAGTGAAGTAGTTTTGCGTGAAGGGCTTTGTTCAGCTGTGTATGGATATGTGAGGGCCGTGTGAGCTAAGCGAGAGCTGTGTCTTCCCAAAAAGTTTGCACCAGCTGAGAGAGAGTTGGCAGCTTTTTAACCGTTAATTTACAGCCGGATTGCTGGATAGCAAACCACTGAACAACAAACCTTTTCTTGGTAATCTGTTTTGACTTAGGAGGGCTCCCGCGGTGCTTCCCTGTACGCTTCTCTGCTCCCTGCTCAGATTTTCAAAAGAGTTTAAAAGCTGCGTCCGCGCTATCATGGAGGGTTACGGCTAAAACATCAAGGACCTTCCAGTATAATGCCAATATGGGCGTACAAGGGGTACGATGCTGCCCCAGGTAGGGGCAAGGTTCCCTACTGGGTGCTCGGCAGTGGCTCGGCATTGGGCAGGGCAACTGAAAGTCCTGCCAACCGTCCTAATTTAAATGCGGATGGAGGACGCGGACCGAAATATTACCTTTTTGAAAATGTAAGCTTTTGCAGTTCTAGTCTTATGCCGATTTGTTCCTGATGCTATGCATGTACAGATTGCCGCGAGATCCGAATGACCGTGGGAGCCACGGCAGGGACAATACGATTTGCTTCAGCGTTAAGCATTACAATGAATACCTACCGATGTACCTGAAACATAAAAGGCTTCAGCCATTGTTATGAACATGGCAACCACGTTGTGCAGCAACAAAAAGTCTTTAGTGCGTGATTAGGACACGCCTCAAGATCCGATACATCTTCCCGTGAGGGACCCGTGAGCAAAGGACTCGCAAGTAATCCTATTTTTAATAAATGCGTACAGAATAAGTGATTGACATGATATATGTTCTCTTATATTTAAATCCATGCTCGGTTGTCGGTCCATGTGCCGGTGTTGGCGTTACGGCTCCTTTTCTGGAAAAATATACATACACTAAACCAAGATCAATTAGATCGAAAACGCAGCTGCGATAATATTATGAACTTCTGTCCTTTGCCATGAGCGCGCAGGCATCACAGGGCAACCCGCGGGAGCGGGGCAATGCTCTGTTCGTGAAGGGCAATTTTATCGCTGCCGCTGCTGCCTACTCCGAGGGACTGCAATCCAATAGTAGTTTAAAAACTGCAAGCAACCTGAACTGCACGGTTGCTGAGGAGCGTGCTATCCTGCTGTGCAATCGAGCCGCATGCCATCTGGAGCTCGGCAATGCAGCAGCCGCGGAGGCAGACTGCCGTGACTGCCTACAGTTGCAGCCATGCAATGTCAAAGCACACTACCGATTGGCCCGGTCCCTGCCGGCCGATCACCCCGACGCGGCTGCCGCCATCGCCATCGCCATCGCGCTGTGCGAACCAGGTGGTCGCGCTGACGCGATGATGGCGACCTACAACACCATTCAGCGTGCAGCGGATAATGCTGCTGCTGCGGCTGCAGCAGCAGTCTCTGCTGCTGCCGCCGGCACAGACGAGGCTGCACAGCCGCCGCCGCCGCCAGTACGACTGCAGCTCCCGCCAGACTGCGGCCGCGTCGCCGCCGCATCGAGCTGGTCTGAAGTCGAAGCCGCCCTGCGTCGAGGTTTCAGCTTTGTCGTACTGCGCCCCGGCATCTACACTACCAACACCCGCGCGCCGCAGGCGGCGCCCGGCGTCAGCTCCTACACGCTCCTCGCCGTCGGTTCTGTGGTACTGCAGTCAACGCGTGACGGCGGCAGCCACGCGATCTGGGTCGACGCTGAATTGCCGTTTCATTCTATTTTCCGTAGGACGCCGCCTGCCTCCGTCACGCTGGCCGGAGTACGGCTTGTTGGCAGCGGCCGTGTAACGGCGGCCTGTGTCTCCGGCGATGGCGCAAAACTGCAGTTGCTGAACTGCCGTATCGAGGACTATGGCGAGGCAGGCCTCTTAGTAACGGGAGCGTGTACGGCACGTCTTGCGGGATGCGTGTTCACCCGTACGGCAGCTCAGGCGATAGAAGTCCGGGAGGGTGGAAAACTGATAGCGGATCGCGTCACCATCACCAACTGCAACCAGGGCGTATCCGCGTACGGCGGTGCTCGTACCGTCGTACTGCGTGACTGTACGATTGTGGGATCAAAGCGGGAGAATGTGCTGCTGAGCGGCACGTACGTGAACGCCGCGACGGAGGCTCAGCACGGCCTTGGAGGTGACGGGAGAAAGGCGCGGTCGGCAAGCGCCGCCGTTGCGACGGCGGAGGCGGAGGAATGGGGCCGGCGCAACAGCACGCCGTTGGACGTTGCTTTGTTGGACTGCACCATCAGCGGGTCCGGACAATTTGGAGTGTCCGCAGACCGCGGCACTAGTGTTTTGGCGCGAGGTTGCCTGCTCGAGGACAACGATCCGTACGCGTTTTTCATCAAAGGGGGCACGGACGCGAGCATATTGGCGTGCCGAATCCACTACTCCGGCGCCAGATCCAAATGTGACTGGGGAATATCCGCTGGCGGCATTGGTGGCGGCGGCATTGGTGGCGGGCGCGGCGGCGTCAGAGGCCGTGGCGCGGCTGCGGCGGCCCCCATGCGGCAAACCGGTATTTATATCGGCGTCAACTACGGCGGCACCGTCACCATCGTCGGTAATGCATTTGTCGGGCCCGAGGAGATGGCGATTGTGGAGGAAGGGGTCGGAAGTGCCGAAGTCGCCATCAAGGCACGGTGTCTGGGCTTTTGGTCCAAGCCATCATCCACAGATCGGAACAGTTACCATGATAGGAAGGCGGCTACTGCGGCGCTGGCCGAGCGCCGTCGCGGCGGCAACGGCCCTGGCGGCAGGAACGAAGGAGGTGACTGTAGCGGCGGTAGCAGTCGCAGCGGCGGGGGCGGCGGCGGAAGTACGGACGTCGATGATGTAGACTCCGTGCCCAGTTTGGAAT